ATGACTTGCAATTTACAATTAACATAATACAAGTTACTTTTTTCTATATCTTACTTAGTTTATGTAGCGTATACATTTAATCAAGTCACTCCATTCATTTCAAACTTTCAGCTTGATTTTAATAACATAAGCAAAGTTACCTGGAACCATTACACTATGCAGGTACATAATGTTATGTTGGAATTACATATTTTATACTATAGCGTGGTTTGATACATTCAATATGGAATATTTTAATTGTTCAAGGTCGAATATCAGGTAGGTGGTAGCACTGCCTATACAGAAGGGAGGGCCCGAATTGTTCATCGAAATTGTAATTTAAATATCTCCTAAATAGGTGATCAGAGTTTTACATTACTATACAGTTTTTTCCTTTCATAACAATATCTATGTAACGACCGAGTCATAAGTTCTGGGAATGTCTGTAGATGTCATAGCAAAAAAGTTTGAATTTCTTGTTCTTCTTTCTTCTACTTCTTTTTCGTTACGATAACTCAATGATACAAATACCATCCCTACTATCTTGTTTGCATTGTTTTTGAAGGATTGATATTAGCCATTCCTACATTTACTTCCTTTTTTGAAATGTTTTTCTTTACTTATATAATAATGGTTTCAGATCATATAAAAGTTCATGTCCTAGTTTATTGCAGTTGAATTTGGCAAAAGTATCTGAATATTTGTTAATTTTGAAATGACGTTTGGTAAAGTAAATCCAAGCAGAACATAGAAATTTATAAAACACTATACAGTAACTTATATTCAAATATTCTCAATCGCACTTAAATAATTTCCACAGTCGTAATGAGTTGCTCTCGGTTGTCACGAAAACATAACACACGATCTTTTAGTAGTACATATTGTTACGACAGCGGAAGTCCCGTGACTCTAGTAACACGTCATGAGATTCTAGAAAGATCCTGTCCGTTCGTGAAGCCTCGAGTGTTCTCCAGACGCCCTCTATTTCGTATATATAAGACCAGCGAGAAGTGACGGCATAGATATGAATAATTGCAGTTTGAAGAGATGGAGACGGACAATTGAGTCAAGCGCGATAGTAAAGTGCGTGAATCGTTCGTTGTGAATTATAGCGTATGTTTAAGTGAAA